TGTAGCCTGTCATATTCCTTTACAGGTGACAGTAGTAGGGGTGGCCCCTGAGGAATTCGGTGACATCCATCAGACACCTTGCATTCAGAACCTGGCAAATTCAGTCTCTTCCAAGAACTTAATGCCAGGTAGGGACTTAAGGCCAATCAGAGGTCACTATCTTCTTTTAAATGTAATACCCCCAGCCTCACTGTACCCTGATCTCAGGGAAGTTTCTTACCCTCAGAGATCTCCAGAGGAGTTTTCTTAGCTTTTTAATTTGATGGCTTTCTGGTGTCCTATCTTCTGGTTAACAAGTTCTTCCAGCTAGAGTAAGTGACTCCCTTTCTTGGCACCAGCATTTCATTCCTGTTGTTTCCTCTTGGCCAGCTGTGTTAATAGATATTTCCTCCATGCTGATGTGGTTACTCACTTTCAGCCCTCTCTTTAGGATGGCTGCCCCACTCACCCACTACCCCTATCATACACAAAATACTTCTTTTCCAAAAAGCTATTTTCTATTCCTTCAAATCAAGATAAAATAGTGATGTCCCTCTCCCTTCCTCTAACCAGCTTCTTCACCTCCTTTCTAGGTTCAATGGGAGACTGCACCTGTCCGAACACTGTGTGAAATACCAGAAGTAGATGCCTGCAGCCTGCTTCCTCCATTCCCAATGCCCAAAGCAGGTGGGTCACCTGGCTCCAGTGCCCACCCTTGTCCTCTTTGCCTGGTGGTAGGTATGCTCTCCCTTCTCCTAATCCCAAATAGGGCCATATTTCTTTCTGGGAGTAACATTTTTTTTTCTCTTCTTCTTCTTTTTTTTGAGACTAGGTCTCATTATGTTGCCCAAGAAGCAATCCTCTTTGCTAAGTAGCCTGCCAAGTAGCTGGGACTACAGACATGTGGCAGTGTGTCCAGCTTTTCTGATGGTATTTCTGTTGTTTATTATCTCCAGCAAGAAGACTCAACTCCTTGTCTTGCTAACTTTCAAACCCTTCAGAGAGTCCCTCCAGCTATCAAATATCCATTCCTTTTTCTGTAGTTCAGAACCTTTCCCCCCATTTAGTGGGTATAGAAAAGAACCAGTAATGGGGCTGGGGCTGGGGCTCAACAGTAGCATACTCGCCTGGCATATGTGAGGCACTGGGTTCGATTCTCAGCATTGCATATAAATAAATAAAATAAAGGTCTATCAACAACTAAAATAATTAAATAAATAAAAATTTTAAAAGGGAAAGGACCAGTAAGTAGATGGTCTTTGAGGCTAGAGGGGAAGGGAGAGGCAGTCCTTTTCTTGGGAGCTGGAAGTTGAATCCCTAGATGTGCATCCTAGTAGAGTACCTGGATCTTTTCAAGGAAAGGTGTTTTATCTGGTGACTGTTTCCCAGGATTCAGATCTTAGGCTCCCAGAGTCTTTCTGACTCTACTTATTCCCAGACTTCCCTGGGAAATGGAAAATGGATGACTGAAGGGAAGAATCAGCTGGATATTGCTCTTTGGAATTCAGGTGTCAGCTTTCCTCTGGGGCCTTTAAAGAATGTCAGGGGGGTCAGAGCATCTTCCTGCCTACCAGGCCTTAGAGTGACATCATCTTTTCCTCTTGACCCTTGGCTTCCTCTCTCAGCAGCATCCCTCTTACTCCTGCAATTCTGATAGCTCAAGCAGCACTCCCAAATAAGTACCTTCGCTGAGCAAGGTGCTGCTTTCCTTGAGGCAGATGCTTTTGAGTTAGAAGTGGAGCAAGTGAAACAGGGTAGATAAGAGGGCTGAAGCAGATGTTAGAAAGCAGGAAATGTCCCTGGAAGTAGTCACCTAGGAGGTATGTATGGGCTACCTTGATGGTACAGAGAATACCAACATTTATAACTCTTACCCGCCAAGCAGGATGTCTGATTCCTCAAAGCAACCATATCAGTCAGGCAACTGCAGTCTTGGTTTCTGCCACACGAGGGCACTGCTGACCAATTAAAACTCACACCTTAGCAGACAATTTGGGTGAGGGCACCCTTTCTCCTTGACCTCTCAGAGACACCCCCAGAGAGTCTGAGAGCTGAGGGCCAAGGAGTCAGAAGAATTAACTGGAACCACTTGTTCTTTATTTAAAATGACTTAAGATCCTAAACACTGCCCTAGTGGCCTGCTAGCTCAGTGCACTTCCAGTTGTGCTTGGAAAGCCCCTAGTTCCAGGTACTGAGCAGTTCACACAGGTGCTCTCTCCTTCAGGGTATAACAGGTTCTAGCTGTCCACCCCATTGTCCCCTTGCCTCCTGAAAATTGCTTTCTGGCCCAGAGGGTGGGGGTGTCTATGGTTTTTAGGGGGGAGAATATTTTACAAGTATTCCAAGTGTCTTTGTTAGTGAGAAAGTATTGGGGGGCTGGAGACTGAAAAAGTGTGTCACCCCATCATCTCTTCCAGCACAGACCTGAAGAACTCATGACAGTCTAATAGATGTGTTTAGACTGAGTGGCTGGAGTACACTCAGGATACCTCTAGGCTCTGAGCCAGAAAAGGTGTCAGAAAACAGGATGGGAAAGGGGGCTGCTTTGGTCCTTGTGCCTCATACCCACCCTATGCAATGTCATGGCTCTGTTAGTGATGCCAAATGGCCAACAGGCTTCTACAGGAGTGAGGACCCCACAATTGACCCTCAGTCTCCATGAAGCTCTTCCAGTCTGAATAGGCTCAGGGAGATGACAGAGGTCCTCTTCTTCCTCCTCCCCCCATGCCTGAGGGCCCCTCCCCAGGAGGACAGCTTGATTAAACAGTCGGTGCTACTGGAATTACTGCACAGCTGGCACTCCCCCCAGCACCCTGAGCAGAGCAGCAGTGCAGATTAAAATCTCCAATTAGCGTTACAGTGAAGTGAGGAGGTGCTGAGGCTGCCAAGGAGGCCAGGCGGGGGCCCTGGGTCAGCACCCCCACTCCTGCCTGGATTCTGAGTGCCACTCTTCATCACCCTTTCTTCTCTAACTCCTCTTCAATGTGCTAAGTGCCTATTAGCCTTGTATCACTTGGGGCTGGAGGGCTTGGGATGGGGTGGGGCAGATGTATAACCTGGAAAAATCTGGGGATCCTTTAAGGATGGAGGAGCATGAGAATGGTCAGAGCTTGTCCTAATCACAGCCTGCCAGCAGCCAGGCCAAGGTGACTTCCCTCTAGTGCTACTGCTTTTTGCCTAAAGAAAAAAGCAAACAGAACAGGTCCCTCTAAGCCCTCTTTCCCATTAAGTACTTAGGGACATGGTACCCACATGAACATCCATCTTTGTATATTTGATCCTATCTGATCCATCTGCTCCCACCCAAATTATGGCTCCTTCCTCTCTCCCTCTCTCCCTCCCTCTCCCTCTATCTTTCTCTCAGCTTTCCTGCAGGAAAGGTACAGCCAGACTCAGGAGCATCACCCTGCCCTGCCACCTGGGTCCCATCCGGCTCCCCACTCCTTGTTATCTTCTTCCTAGTTTGGGGATGAGCCGAGATATGCCAAGAATGGAAGTCTCAGATCCTCCCAACCCCTAAATATTACACACCATTCTAAGATCCTTCTTTCATTTATACTCCGTCCTTCACGTATCAAGCCCAGAAGCATGGCAGCAGAGCTAACCATATCCTCTGATTGCCCTCTGCCCCTTTAAGGGAAATGGAGGTGGGTACCCAGCTGACTGAACCTACTCACACCTCCAGAAATTAGACACCAGGGCACGGTGCCACCCTCCCAGGCTGGCACATGCTACCCTGGCAGAGGTTCAAGTAGCCCCCCCATCATACTCCCACCCCTATGTCTTCCTCTACTCTCTCCCTCTTTCTCCGCCCCCCACTCTTTTCTCAGCTCAAAGCACAGCTGAGCCTTAGAAGGAGGGGTGGGGGTGGAGAGACCAAGCTGGGGCAAGGGGGTGTAGAGCTCCAATAGCACGTTTTCACCTGCCATTTAATTGGATGTATTTTTAATTAATGGGACCTCAGGGACCAACATGAGACAATCTGATCTCTGAATAGGGACAGGGGAGGGATTGGGTAAGGGAGGAGGATTGGGCCACTGGGTGCGGTTACCGGGAACTCGGGCCCATCAATCACTGGCCACTTTGCGTTCTGGCATGGAGAATAGCAAGGTAGAGGAGGAGGGGAGGCGCTGGGGAGAGGTGCCAGGATTTCCCCCCTGCCAGGACCTCCAAAAGGGATGGAACTGTGCTGATTGACTCAAATCTTAGAGCCCAAAATTGCAATCAGAATAATAGGTAAGGCTGTTTTCTTGCCCCTGGGGTTTTGTCTAGTTGGGTTTTTATCCCAAGGAGTGCTGTAAAATTGTGAAAGGAATGTGGGGACAGAGGTTTGAGATCCCTGAAGGAAAGTACAAGAGCTAAGGACCATGGAACTAGAGACTATGATGAGAGGGAAGAGAAAGGCAGATTTCAGAGATATTTCTGTTCAACCTCCATATTTGGGGTTGAACCCAGGACCTCACACATGCTAGGCAAGCTCTACCACTGAGCTATATCCTCAGCCTTTCTACATTTTGACTTGAAACAGTGCCATCAAAGTTACCTGCAAAATGGCATGCAAACTAGGACTGGTGCCTTTTAGGGTCTGAATCAGAGAATCTTTTCTGTTCCAAGGAAGGGAACTTGGAGCTCATCTTGCCTGACCCCATTATTTTACAGATGTGGAAACCAAGACCCAGAGAGGGGAATTCATTTGAATCCTGTCTTGGAGCTGCTTTTGTTCCTGGGTTTAGAAAGTTCCTGGGAACACAGGGAAAGGAAAGGTAGGTATAGTGGGAGGAAAGTCAAATGAAGAGTCAGCAGGACATTATATTCTGTTGCCTGAAGCCTCATGTTTTTGTCCCCTGAGTCTGGGAAGCAACTTAGGGAGTCAAGCAAGTGCATTTTCTATGGAGCATTACTGGGAAACATTTTCTTTCTTTCTTTTTTTTTAAATATTTTTTAGTTGTTGATGGACCTTTATTTAATTTATGTGTATGTGGTGCCAAGAATCAAACCCAGTGCCTTACGCATGCTAGGCAAGAGCACTACCACTGAGCCATAACCCCAGCCCATGGGGGACATTTTCTTTATATAGCCTGTTTCATAGTTCATCTCATCCATTCCCTTGATTCCAAGCAGTCAGATTTCCTTTAGTCCCCGTTCCAGAATTTTATCTTAACTTCTAAGGGAAGGAAATGAACCAATTATTCCAACTTTTTAACCTAGAAATAAATCTTCCAGTCAACATTAAATATGGAACTTTGTTAGAAATCTTCTCACAAGTTTCCCTGCTATAATATAAACCACTGGAGAAAGTTATGCCAAAAAGTATAATAAGGGGTAGTCTTATACCTCTTGTCCAATGTCTAAGCCTAGAACAGAGACAGAATTCAAATTCAAGGCCCTAAAGGCTGAATTAGAAAAGCCCCTAAATTCATGTAGTACCCTGCCCTAGGGCTCTTGGTTAGGTCCCATTTGGTTCACGTAGTGTTGATGTACCCTGGAACAGAAAAGCAAGTTTCCAACCGCCTCCATTCCTACTAGCTTTCTTTTGTCACTGTTTATGAGCTAGGGTTAAAGAGGGAAGGATGAAGGCAAATGGGGCCTTTACCACCAGGTTGCCAAAGCTTAATTTCTTGGCATCCTCCCCTTTCCTGAATATATTCAACATTCTTTGTTCTGTGCTTCATGAGGCTGACTTGGGGTAAGGGCAAGATTAGGCACAAAGTTTGGAAGGCAGTGCCAGGGGAAATTTTGTCACAGTTTTCATGCCCCCACATCTTTTTTCCCACCCCCAGAATTGTCTTCTCCTCTAGTTTAGTACCCAGGCCCTGGGGAAGAGCAGGATCTGCCTCTGTAAGTGCCCCCAGCCTCATCCTGCTCTGCCTTTAGACCCTCAGAATCTGCCCCTGGTCTGTCTGATCCTTTGCCTTCTCCACTGCAGCCAAGATAAGAAGGTCCTCAGGTCCCCCAAGGACAGACTAGGAAGAATTCTTCTAGGACCCCTGCTGGCTTCCAAGGGTATCAAGGCTGTTGGTAGGGGGAGAACTGTGGCAGGGACTGCAAAGAAAGTTCTTCTGTTGGGTGAGATGAGGTAGAAGGCTGCAAAGAGACAATATGGAGAGGTGACATTTGGAAACTGAGTCCTGTAGTCCCACTTGTGGAGTTGACTGCTGAATGTAAGGCAGGACAGTCATAGGAAGTATTATTTGGGGGATATATTAGGTGGGTGCTGTTTCTACTCTGGAATGCAGAGCAATGGAAAAGAGCATGCAGTAAGGGAGGAGAGAGGATGGCAGGCTTTCTCTAAAAAAGAGCTAGCCACCCTTTCTCTTGCTGATGGTTGCCCTTTGTTCATCCCTACTTCAACATACTGGGGGAATATGGAAGGGGCAGAAAGGCCCTTAAAGTACTCACTCCAGATTCTGGGTGTTTTTCAAAGAAATAGAGCTTCCAGGCTGGGGTTATGGCTCAGCAGTAGAGTACTCGCCTCGCACGTGCAAGGCCCTGGGTTCGATCCTCAGCACCACATATAAATAAATAAAATAAAGTTTAAAAAAAAAAGCCCCTCTCTTAAAAAAAAAAAAAAAAAGAAAGAAAAGGAAAAGAAAGAAAGAAAGAAATAGAGCTTCCTTTCTTTCAACCCTACCAGGTCTACCTCATATTCCCAAGGTCTAGCCAAGGGTTCCAGATCCACAGCCTGGAGTCCAGAAGAAGTTCAGAGCCTTTTGTGGAAAAGAAGGGTAGATGTGAAGTGTTTGGAAGGTAGAGAAAACAGTACCCAGAATTCTCTGCCTTCTGGAAAAAAAGAACTAGCCACAATGCTCAGCAATGGCCTAGGGTTTAACTTTTACTCTAAGGGGACCCCTTTCCTCCTCCCCATTTTCCCACTGTATGTGGTTGGGGGAGACCTGGAAATCTGAACCTCTTACCTTGGCACCTGGAAGGCTGTTATGCAGATCCCCTCTCTATAATTCCCAAAGCTATGGAGAAGGGGAAAGGAAGAGAAAGGGGTAGATGGAGGTGGCTGTACCATGGTGTTCATTAGCACTCAAGGAGAGAGGCCAAGGAGAGAAACTGGCCAGAGAGAAAGCTAAAAGGAGATACCTGCTCCCTGCTCCTGAAACAGCATCCTTACCCCATCCTCTCTTGCTTCCCCTCACATGCCTATGGGGCTATATGCCTGAGTGTGCCAGCTCTCCTGGCTGGTTATCCTGCTCCATGGAGACGGCAGCCAGCACTCTGCGCCTGCATAGAGCACATGCAGTAGTCTCTCACACTCCTGTGCTCAGTCATCTCAATGTGCCTGTGTTACAGATTACTATTATTAGGGATGAAAGAGGGCTGTGGCCCTATGGGTAAGAAGATGGTGGGCTCTGGGGCCTTTTGGGTGCATTTTGCTTGGCTGGAGGAAGGGGTAGGGAGAAGGCTGCTGGCAGCTCAGCAGAGCCTGAGGTTCTAGTGACTCACAGCAGTGGGGGTGGCTCATAAAAACAACAGAGGGGAAGGGGGCCCAGGCCTATTAGAACTCTCTTTGCTCCTTCTCCCCACTTTGAACTCTGTGGATGAAAATCTCTCATCTAGATGAGGAGAGACCCTAGCTATGAAAAAAGAAGGAAGTGGGAGAAGAGAAGAGAGCAGGAGAAGCTGAACATTCTCAGAGGAGCAGCTTCCCATAAGGAGAGTCCAGTTATTCTTGCCTTACTGTATCTATGGATTGCACAGGGAGTACTGGGCATTCACATGTGCTAAGGCCTCCCAGTATCTCTGGACTTTTTCCAGAAGAAAGCTTTCCAAGTACACCCAACTATTTCTCCCTGCCTCATTTGCCTGCCTCACCAGTGAATTATGTACCCAGTTGACTCTACATTTTCAGAAATTAAAAAAAAAAACAAAATGGGGCTGGGGATGTGGCTCAAGCGGTAACTGGCTTGTCTGGCATGCGCGCGGCACTGGGTTCGATCCTCAGCACCACATAAAAATAAAATAAAGATGTTGTGTCCACCAAAAACTAAAAAATAAATATTAAAAAAAAAACAGGGCTGGGGATGTGGCTCAAGCAGTAGCGTGCTCGCCTGGCATGCGTGCGGCCCAGGTTCGATCCTCAGCACCACATACAAAACAAAGATGTTGTGTCCGCCGAAAACTAAAAAATAAATATTAAAAAATTCTCTCTCTCTCTCTCTCTCTTTTAAAAAAAAAAAAAAAGAAGAAGAAAACCACTACAACAAGATCAGAACCTAAAAGAATTATCACCTTTTCTCAGTAGTTTCTTCCTTAGAAAGAGACACCTAGGACCAGAGAGGAGCAGCTAGGGGTATTTAGATTGGCAGAACAGGCTGTTGGTACAGAATGAACAGTGGGTGCAGAAACACAGGTCTTTAAAAGTGCTGATGCCTTCCCCTCTCACAGGCCAGTGGGCAATATACATTTCTATCCTTTTTGAATCAGGGGATGATAGAGTACTGTGCTGAATATCATAATAGAAAGAGATCAGAAGGTAGACTAAGACAACTGTCTATGCCTGTGATCCTAGTCCTGGGGCCTGTGACCGAGCCTGAATTTTCACTTGCCTATTCTGTTTCATTGCAGGTGGCTCTACTTTTCAGCCAGGGTAAAAGCCTTCTGCCCAACTGTTCCTGGTGATCCAGAGATGGCTTTTTTTTGGTGAAAGAGACAGACCAATCACTCTTTGTGCAGGGAGATGGAATCAGCTATATCATTCCTCTCTCTGGCAGCACAAGTTGAGAGACCCCATAATAAAGTTTAGTCCTGAGCTAAGCTAACCCATCACCTGCCTTGAGTATAAAATTGAGGGGGAGCCTGGGTATATTAGTTAGGGTGTAGGTAGATGGGGGGCTTAATCCCCAGAAGAGATAAGAATAACTCCTCTATACCACTTGCTGCTTATCTCTCCTCTTTTTTGATTGATTGATTGGTGCCAGGGATTGAACCCAAGAGCACTTAACCACTAAGCCACATCCCCAGCCCTTTTTATTTTTTATTTTGAGACAGGTTCTCACTAAGTTGCTTAGGACCTCACTAAGTTGCTAAGGCTAGTCTTGAACTTGTGATCCTCTTGCTTCAGACTCCCGAGTCACTGGGATTACAGATGTGCACCATTGCATCCAGCAATCCACCTATTTCTTAAAACTCCTTTCTGTGCTCCCTTTTCTTTGACCTCCCATTAACTACCCCCATTTCTGGCCACCACATCTTCTCCAGTCTGAAAGAACATGGTAAATACTTTTATGTTCCCTGTACTTTTATCTCTCTCACTCTCTTCCTCTCTTCCCAGCTCCCAACTGAGAACTACCAACACTTGAATTCTTTCCACCAGTGAACGCCTCCAGGATCTGAACCCAGGATCCTTATCCTCTGCTATCCTACCCTGATCCTGAAAATACCATTGAGGTGGGAAGGACTCATCAGTCCTCATCCTTCCACAAGTATACCCAGGCCAGGACTGATATGTCCACTGGTATTAAGGGCCCTGCCCTGGAACAGAGGGCAGCCCTAGGTGTACACTGGGGCCCCGGCCCTGAATGCATGTCTGCCTGTGCATTGGGTACACTGGTTTATTAGTGTTATTTCAGCATTGTGATGCAGAGAGAGTAAGTGTAACAGCTGCTCCTTGCTTGCAGTGTTTATTGTTACCTAGAGACAACCTCCTGGCTTTTTCCCAGCTCCCCCTCCCCCCCAACCCTGCCCCCCTCCCTGCCAACAATCCTGCTCTCCCTACACTGATGGGAAATTTATAGCTTGCCCATACCATGCCTTTAACCCTCTCCTGTCCATAGGGTAGATGGACCAAGGGGAGCCAAAGTGAACAGTGAGCATGCTTGGGCCCCAGCAAGGTAGAATAACAATCTGGAAGAGGGAGAGAGGAATGACACATACCCCTCCATTCTATGTGTCCAATCTCAGGCCCCAGTTGCCCTCCTATCTCTCATGTGGAGAAAAAAGAAGAAAGAACTTCAATCCTGGCTTTGACATCCTAGAAGAGCTCCTTTGGACTTAGCATTGGGATCTCAGCATCCTCCTAACAAAATTATTCCTTTCCATGAGCATCTCTAAGCACCCAGTTTGGTTGCCTGGACCTGCACCATATACAGTGAGCTGATATTGAAAAGGAAGGGAAATATATAGTGGCAGAATCCCCAGCCCCCTCCTTTCTGAGAGAAAGGTAACTATAGAGATGTCATATTGAGAATAGATAAGAGCCTCTGGGGAGAGAGATGCCAGCCAGACCTCTATAGCTGGGTAGATGTCAAACACGAAGCCCACTGCTGAGCCTGATGGGAAAAACTGCCCACCTTAACTTCACTCTGGGCCCAGCACTAAGGTCCCAGAGACTCCAGGGCCATTCTCCAAGCTGGCCTTGGTCTGACTGGGCTACTCCTTTTTTGTGTGTCCTTCCTGCTTGTCTTTTAGTTTGATACCTTGGGACAGATCCAAAAGACCCAGGAGACTGAAGCATCCTAGGCATGGCCTCAACAAATCTAGAGAGAGAGAAGCCCTCTCTGTTCCCTAGAACCTTTCATGGAGGAGTACTGTGTCATCTCTTCACCATCCTCACTGGAAACAGAAGAGAGGAGAAGGGGTTGAATTTTAACAGAAAGCATACAGGTTAAACAGAAAAACTTACTAATGGGATGAAAGACTTTAGAATAGGCCTGCTTCTCTCTCCAGAGATTTTTTCTTTTTCCTGCAATGAGTTAAGTTGGAAGAACAAGGATACTTTTCCAGGCCTCCTCCAGACGGTGTCAGCATGCTTTCCACACAGTATACCCTTCGTCAGTCCTTCGAATGTAGTATGTGGAGTTAGATCACAATTTTTTGGAGGCAGACAGCCCTAGGTTCCAGTGCCAGCTCTGCCACTTACCAGCTACCTTGATAAGTCACCTCTTTGAACCCAAATTTCCTTGTCTGTGATATGCAGATGAACATCTACCACTAAGGTTGCTGTGAAAATTTTGTAAATAATGTTATAAAGAACATAGGATACAGGGCTGCGGCTGGGGCTCAGTGGTAGGGTGCTCGCCTAGCATGTGTGAGGCACTGGGTTCAATCCCTGGCACCACATAGAAATAAACAAATAAAATAAAAGGTATTGTGTCTATCTGCAACTGAAAAAAGAAGAAGAAGAAGAAGAACCACCAAGGATAGTACCAGATATTCAGTAAGATACTCAGTGCCCAATCAGCAGTGCTTGATGTAGTAGAACACTGTTATTTTTATGTCCTCAGGGATGACATTGCTTCAAAGACTCCATGATTCCCTGGAGATTATCGCCATATGTGTGTGTGTGTGTGTGTGTGTGTGTGTGCGTGTGCGTGCGTGCACATGCATGTGCACATGCACATATGCACATGCATGTACTAGGGAGAATGTTCCCAATTTTCTTCATTATGTGAGTAGGAATATAAGTCCCCTGGAAAGGAAGTAGCCCCAATCTCTTGACTCAGACTCCCTAAGAAATCATTTTGATGCCTTGCTAGCCAGAAGAGGGGCCATTCTCATGTGCCACTTAGCCATTGTTCTGCCTGAAAGTATAGCTTTATTCAGGATGGAACTGGGAGAAATAGCCCTTAGAAGAATAGCAACAACTTACATTTTCCAGGCAAAAGTTTGTCAAGTTTATCTACATTAGCTCTTTAAATACCAAAAAAAAGAAAAGCAAATTCCATTTATTGAGTGCCTGCTATACATTTTATTGAGTATATTTTTAAAGTATGTTTGAAATTTATAGAGTATTTTATCACCTAGATACACCATAATTTATAAGACTTATCCCCCGTTTTTAATCACTTAGATATTTTTACTGTTATAAATAATATCACAATGAATATCTGAACACATAAAACTTAATGTATTTTTAATGATAAATTCCAAGAAGTAGAATTACTGGGTCAACAGATACAAATATCCCCCCTACATGGTTATGATCATTTTATTGATTACCCTAATGAGAATAACATTTATTAATCTTCCTCTTTGGAATTTCACAAAGGAAACACAAGGGCTGCCCCTTCTGCCTCTTATTTCTAGTAGAAACATTAACGATTTATCATGGCTTTTTTAAAAAACTGAGATAATTGTAGATTCACATGTAGTTGTAAGAAATAATAAGAGCCCTTGTTCATTTTCCCCACTTTCACTGAATGGTAACATTTTGCAAAACTATAGTATACTATCACAATCAGAACATTGACCTTGATGCAATCACCAATCTTGTAAAGATTTCTCTAGGGCTGGGGATTTGGCTCAAGCGGTAGCGCGCTCGCCTGGCATGCGAGCGGCCCAGGTTCAATCCTCAGCACCACATACAAACAAAGATGTTGTGTCCGCCAAAAAATAAAACATTAAAAAACTCTCTCTTAAAAAATAAAAATTAAAAAAAAAGATTTCTCTAGTTTTACTCGTGTGTGAGTGTGTGTATATGTGTGTGTGCATATTAAGTGCTATACAATTTTATTACCTGTGTAAATTCATATATCTATCACTACAGTCAAGATGCTGAACAGTTCCAGCATCACAAGAATTCCTCATTTTTTTTTAATTACACCTATTTCTCTACTCCATCCCCTCCTTAACCCTTGCAGCACTGATCTCTTCTAAAATTTTGTCATTTCAAAAATGGAATCATCTGGGCTGGGATTGTGTCTCAGTGATAGAGCGAGCACTTGCCTAGCACATGTGAGGCACTGGGTTCAATCCCCAGCACCACATAAAAAAATAAATGAATAAAATAAAGTTATAAAAAATGGAATTATCCAATATACAATTTTTAATTGACTCTTTTCATATAGCTTAATTCCCTAGAGACCCATCCAAGTTTTTATGTATATCAATAGTTCATTCCTTTTATTTATTCCATGGTATGGACATACCACAGTTTGTTTAACCATTTACCTGTTGAAGGACATCTGGGCTGATTTGGTTTTGACTATTTATTACAAATAAAACTGTTACAAACATTTATGTATAGATTTTTGTATGAACATTTTTTGTATGAACACTTTTTACCATTACTAAGTTGCTCATCAGCAAAGTTCTCTCACTGTAATTTCTAGCAATGAATGAAATAGCTCATTTCACTTGGTTTGCTGAGGGTTTGGTTTTGTTTTTATTGCAGTACTGGGGATCGAACCCAGGGGCACTGTAACATTGAGCTATATTCCCAGCCTTGTTGATACTGGGGATCACACCCAGGGGTCCTTTACCACTGAGCAGCATCTCCAGGCTTTTTTTTTTGTACCAGAGATTGAGCCCAGGAGCATTTAATCACTGATCCACATCCCCAGCCCTTTATATTTTTTGTTGTGAGACAGGGTTTCCCTAACTTGCCCAGGCTAACCTAGAACTTGTAATACTCCTGCCTCAGGCTCCCAAATAGCTGGGATTTCAAGCATGTAACACTATGCCCAACTTGTTGAATGTTTTATATTCACAATTATTGAATTTCTTAATCCTTTGGGAATGGCACTACTATTACCTCCATTTTGTTGCTGAAGAAAATTGAGACTCGTGGTAAGTCATTTCCTCAATATCATCTGCTGTTAAGTGGAGGAGACTTTTCTACACTTGAGGAATGTTGCTGGGAAGAAAGCGTAGGCAGAATTAGCAGAGATATGGGAGACAAGGAGAGCACCAGAGGAATCTGGGTCAACTGAGGTCCCTACAGCCACTTTGGTTCATAGATTAAGAGAGCAGCATTGTCACAAGGCAGGGGACACTATGGCATGTGCCCTCGAAATTGTTTCTCTTTTGGCAGATAAGAACATATT